TATTTTACACCATTGTGATTCCCATGCTAAATCCCGTCATCTACAGTCTGAGGAACAAAGATGTAAAAGAGGCCATGAAAAGAGTGTTTGGTAAAAATGGGATTATTGATAAAGAATAGTTTTCACAGTAACTATTAAAATGAAACGAATCAAAAATAATATCTATTGTCTCAAAATCAAAATGAGAAAAATGTGGTGTTTTAGTTTATTAGTGTCTTTCTATTCTTCTTACACATTTTTAATAAAGGTTTTAGTCATACCTCCACATATACAGTTTCCAAACATGCAGAAAAAATGTGTAATCCATTTGTTTCTTCCTTAATTCACTCTCAGATATAAACACACACACATACACACAGACACACACTCACAGGTATATATATTCTGACGGTGATTGCATTAGATTGTCAGGGTTGCTGGAACAAAGTGCTACAGACTGATAGCTTAAAAAAAATTTATTGTTCACTCTTCTAGAATATAGGAATCTGAGATCAAGGTGAAGGTGAAGGCAAGGCTGATTTCTTCTGAAGTTTTTTCATTCACTTGTAGAGGGCAGTCTTCTCTCTCTTTCTTCATGTAACTTTTCTCTATATATCTCTGTATCCTATTTCCTCTTCTCATAATGACACCATTCATACTGGAGGAGGGGCCGAACTAAAGACCTCATTTTAAGTAAATTGTCTCTACAGAAAGCTTATACCAAATATAGTCACATTCCAACGTACACAGAGTTAGACAAATTTGGCAATTATGAATAAAGCTGCTATAAATATCTGTGTGCAGATTTATGCATAGATGTAAGTTTTCAAATTCTTTTAGAGTCCATACTACTCAAAATGATCTAAAGATTCAAAGAAAATTCATATCAAAATATCAATGGTATTTTTACAGAAATAGAAAAATACAATCTAACATTTGCATGGTATCAAGGAAAACTTAAGCAAGAATAACAAAGCTGGAGTCATCACATTTCCTGATTTCAAGATATATCATAAAACTAAAGTAATAGAAGAGTATGGTATTGGAATAAAAATAGACATATAGACATATAGACGTATTGGCAAGGGAACAGAAAATACAGTCCAGAAATAAACCCGCCCATTACAGTCAATTGATCTTCAACTAGGCTATCAATAATACACAAAGGGAAAAGGATAGTCATTTTACAAATCGTGCTGGAAAACCTGGATATCTACATGCAAAAGAATGAAATTTGTCCCTTATCTTACACCATGAACAAAAATAACTTAAAGATTTCAACATAAGATCTGAAACTTTAAAATTCCTGAAAAAGTATGTCAGGGAAAACTTTACAACTTTGGACTGGGCAACGATTTCATGTATATGACATCATAAGCACAATAAAGAAAAGCAAGATTAGATAAATGGGAATACACCTAACTGAAAATCATCTGCGGAACAAAAGAAATAATCACTAAAGAGGAAACCTACAGAATAGGATAAAATACTTGAAAACCCCTTGAATAGACAATTCTCCAACAAAAACATACAAATGGCTGCCAGACCAATATGAAAGCATACTGACATCATTCACTAATTATCGGGAAAAAACAAATCTAAAACATCATTATAATCAGGGGTCTTAAAACTCTATTCATTCAATAAATATCAATATGTAGTAAGTTATTCCAGGAACATTTTCTTTTTCATTATTGAAGAAATCATCGTGTTGCTATTTTGAACCAAAATATAATTGAGGCATATTCCCCTAGGGCCATCTCTTATGGTTTCATCAACAACTGAGTAAGTGGATATAAATAATCTAAATTAATCACATTCATAGTGTATGTAAACCCACTTTTGCTGTTCCACAGGTAAGAGAAAATTCCAAGTCATTTGCAGAATATTTTATGAAGAGGGATCTCAAATTTCAAGGTCAAATACATTATGAAATCCCCAATACTAAAATTTCTGATTGTTGCCTGTTGCATAGGTAAATAAATAAAACTAAGAAAATATAAAATGTTAAATTTACTTTTGTAGAGTTAAGTAAGTGTTCCATATTGAGTGTATGCTTTCATTTTCCCAATGAAAGAAGACAGATCAAATTAAAGCAAGAACAAGAAAGAAAATTTATCAGTGGAGGAAACAAAAATCTTTGACTTATTCAGCTACCTGGGAACTTGTATTTTGCTCTTATGAGGAAGCAATCAATTACCATTTATTTTCCCAGCTTTGTGATGTAGAAGCCACTTCATATTACTGTTGTTTCATGTTTCTCGAGTCTTAATGTTTAAAATTTATCTAAATACATATCAAGAATCGTGTTTTATTTCTCTGGGAGTTGCTAGATGGCAGTCTGTTACGGAATAAAGCTGTGATAGTACAGGAAACGGTAAAGCACCAAAGCGCATGCGCTTGAGGGAGACCCGGGATTGAATCTTGATTCTGGTAATTAGTAGCTATGAGAGTTTTTATAAAGTTGAAATAAAGTAATGTACCCAAAAGTCTATCCCTGCTGCCTGTGCTCTATACGTGGTTGTTATTATTTTTCTCCTCTGTTAAAAACTTAGTATTTCAATGTTGAGCCAAAGATACTTGGAATTGTCTGCCTTCTATTAAAATTGTATTTTCAGAAGTAGTTTCACATTCCTTTTAAAAGTTGATGCTATGTCATTAAACTCTTCAGAAATCATACTCATTTCGCTTTAAAACTCTGAGCTCTTTTGATATATTTTAATATTGACTTCATTATACCCAGAATCACTTTTATTTTGTCATCTAGTAGAAATTTCCGATTCAAGAAAATATAGCTGAAATGTTTAACGTTGCAGTCTTTCACTATCTTACTTATCCAAGTAAAATTAAGCCCATAGCAAATGGAATTGTGGTCATCTGTGTGTGGGTAGAGGGGAAAAACATCATAATCAAAATATGATTTATTAGATTTAATCCTGATAGAATAATGATTCAGTGTGTATTGATAATCACAAAACAAATATATTAAATGCAGCTAAAGGATGAAATATCTGTCTCAAGGCTTTGGACACATATATTCTTCAATGATGGGTTATAATATTAAGTTTGTGGCCCAATATTTACTAATGTTTTAAAAATAAGTACATCTGATGACCAAAGTTCAATTATATGGTTATTTTAAATTTGTAACCCAAAATGGACATATTCGAAGGAGATTATTTCATATATTTATTGATCTACACATTTAATTAGTCTACCTTGTTATATATCATTGTATCTGCTTGGTCATTATTCTAAAGAGGAGTAAACCTAGGCGAGAAGGCGTAGCATCAGACATGGCTTTTAATCATGAATCTGGCCAATGAACACACACATTCAGATCTAAGTCCTTAGCTATTTTCTTAAATAGGTTTATCATTTAACAGATAGATGTAAAGAATTGTATTGGGGCTGATTTTCTCTTGTGATTCCTCATCCTTGTTTTAAAAATAAATTTATCATATACATCAGAGTTTTCGTATCATTTGTTCCTTTTATGTAGGTCTGTTTCTTTTTTTTGAAAAATTTCGAATATGTAATAAAAGCAGACAGAATGGTATAATGAATTCCCATGTGCCCATCACCCTGTTTCAATAATATTAACATGCCAGTCCCCTCTCCCAAATTATAACTTCATCCATAAGCATTTCATTATGTATCTCTAACAATAATAATTGTTTTATAATCCTAAGGACTTCATCAATATCATTGCTAAAATTTTGAAAAATTTCTTCTTATTAAGAATTTTTATAAATGTCCTTCCTCCCACAGTTTATTTGAATCAGGATCCAAGTAAGATCCATGTATTGCAACAGATTTGCTGGCTTAAGTGTCTTTTAAGAACACTGCATTTTTCTATTAACTTTTTATTAAATATAATGGTGTGACATTGGTTAATAAAATTATATAGGTTTCAAGTCTACGATTCAATAGTACATCATCTGTATTTTGCTTTGTGTATTCACCACCCAAAGTCAAGTCTCCTTCCATCACCATACATTTGACCCCTTTACCTTTTTCTACCTCCCTCCAAACCCCTTTCCCTCTAGTAACCACTAAACCGTTATCTGTGTCTATGAGTTTTGTTTGTCTTGCTCATTTGCTGTTTTCAGTACTATATCCCACATATGAGTGAAATCATGTGGTTTTCAACTTTTTTTTGTAAGACTTATTTTGCTTAAAATGATTATCTCAAGATCTATCCATGTTCTTCCAAATGTCAGTATTTCATTTTTCTCAGGCCTGTTAAACTGTATTTCATTTCTTATTTTGGCTTAATCAAATCGTGAGCCAGTATCTGGAAAAAATCTTGATGAGTTCTTTTAGATATAACCAAGAAGATATAATGGAGTTAGAAAATTTTTAGAGATGAGCTCATAAAATGTTACAATTTAGATTGTCACTACTCTGTAGGATCAACCAAATTAAGCACATTCTCTATTTAACATACCTTTAAAGATTTAATTTTCTTGACATATTTTTTGTCTTTCAATATTTACTCTAATATTGTGAAATAAATATAAATGTCCTCATTCTACAGGAGAGTAGATTATAGTAAATAATTTTATGCAATTACTGAAAGGTCTAGAATGCTGACATTCTATTCTATTCCAATGCTGTGTACACTGATATACTATCTCATGTATTTGGATATCAAAAAGAAATTATTCTTTAGCCAATCACTTGCTGTTTTAATGTAATTTAATAGAAAAACAACTAATACAGTGCAGTAGTAAATGAACCAGTTGATCTGCTGCTTTTAAAAATAACATAAATTCAGCCAGTGAGTGAATACTCATGTTTTCTATTTGATTTTGCATTGAACGACATAAGCAATTATCCATTGTCTTGTCACTGTCTCCGATCTGCAAACGGGAAATTTACATTGTCAAAAAGTAAATATGAGTACATAGCTCACTTCTCCTTCTGTCACAATATTGTCACTATTTTGCTTATTCTTTTTGTTGTAAATGAATTCTAATTTTACAAATCTCTTTAACTTTGTCCCGTGAGGTGTCAACATGCAGAATGCCACTCAAGTTACCATGTTTGTGCTGAAAGGTTTCACAGACAAGCCTGAACTGCAGATCATCTTATTCTTCCTGTTTCTAGCAATTTACCTCTTTACTCTGATAGGAAATTTAGGACTGATTGTACTGGTCATGGGGGATCCCCGACTTCACAACCCCATGTACTATTTTCTGAGTGCATTGTCATCCGTGGATGCCTGCTATTCTTCAGTAATTACCCCAAATATGTTGGTAGATTTTATGTCAAAGAGTAAAGTCATTTCGCTCCTTGGATGTGCAACACAGATATTTCTTGCTGTTACTTTTGGGACCACGGAATGCTTTCTCCTGGCCGCAATGGCATACGATCGCTATGTAGCAATCTACAACCCTCTCCTGTATTCAGTTAACATGTCACCCAGAGTCTATGTGCCACTCATCATTGATTCATATGTTGGAGGCATTCTGCATGCTATTTTACACACAGTGGCCACATTTAGCCTATCCTTCTGTGCATCCAATGAAATTAGGCATGTCTTTTGCGACATCCTTACTCTCCTTGCTATTTCCTGTTCTGACACTCAAATGAACCAGCTTCTACTTTTCTATTGAGGACGCATTCTGCTGAGGGGAGACGGAAGGTCTTTTCTACATGTGGCTCTCACCTAACTGGATTGTCCATTTTTCATGGTACACTTCTCTTCATGTACGTGAGACCAAGTTCCAGCTATGCTTTGGACCATGACATGATAGTGTCAATATTTTACACCATTGTGATTCCCATGCTGAATCCCGTCATCTACAGTCTGAGGAACAAAGATGTGAAAGAGGCCATGAAAAGAGTGTTTAGGAAAAAAGTGTGTTTAGGAAAAACTGGCTTTTATAGTAAAAAATAAATTTTAAAAATTGAGAGTGATATGTTCTGCCTCAATATCAAAGATAAATGATTAAAATGTAGTGTTTTAGTTTATTAATACATTTGTGTTATTTTGGATATTTTAAGATAAATATCATAATTAACCATCTACCTATGCTGTCTTCAGATGTGAAAAAAAAAAACTTGCCATTATCAATTTGCTTCTCATTATATTCTTTCTGAGATATATGTGTACACACATATATGTATGTGGATACCGATACTGACCGTTACAACACAAATGTATACAATCATTACTTTAAGATGTTTTATATTGATTCTTTTCATCTTCACGTAACAAAATATATAGGTTCCAATAGTTGCAGTTATAAATAACATTATAATTTTGTCTGACTAGTTAATCAAATACCACCTAATAAATGACAAAACCCAGCTCACATTAGCCCAGAACACTTTCCATAAAGTCATTGCTGTCTGATTCCAGTGCAAAGCACTCTACCCTAACCTTGAATCCATGCGTTGGCAACAATCTAACCACATTCCATGGCTCAGAGACCATAGAAAATGTGTTCATATTTCTAGTGTCCTTATCATTCTGTGTATGAGGCTTCATTTCTCCCCATTTTGTTACTTTATCCACAACATGGATATTATACCCATCTTTAATATCTCACAGGAAAATAAAGTCTAGGCATTAGCTTTTATCAAGATTATACCTAAATTTAAGAAATACCAAAAAAAAGAGGACAAAAAAAAAAAAAAAAAGAAAAAAAAGAACAAGTGACTGACAGATTAAGCTCTTCCCAGATCTAAGCCCGGCCCATTATTACAAAATTTCTTACATGCCTGGCCCTGACTCAACTTTCAGCTCTCTCTTTCTTTGACCCCTGCCCCTCTGTGATGCCCTTGCTCATGCCACCACTGCTCAGTGCCCAGGCCCAAGAACCAAGGTACAGAAGAGGGTATCTCCTATTTTTATCCCTGCTTCCAACAGACTTCATTTCAGTACAAACGTATGTTTCCATGAAAAACAATTCTAAGTTGTTATGTTATCCCTTCCTTCTTCTCATTCTTTCATTTTTATTTATTAATTTTTAATTATTATTTTATGAAAATATATTCTCTTCCCACGTGATATCCATATTTATTAGTCCAAGAAGATAATTTGCTAAGAATTAGAGTTCAATTTAAGATTATTTCCCTAAATAGGATTATTGAGTTTAAAAAACACCTCCCAGTTTCTATATGGAATACCTCTTACTGCTATATATTCCTACTACAGAATCTCTACATTTATTTTCTACTGTTTAGAGGCTTTCTCCATTGCTAGTCACATGGTTCTTTCCTTAACATGTCAAAACTAAACTATGGTCACTAATATTCAGTATCTTTGCATATGCAACCATGCCAATGAGAACTGCACCATTTATGTGTATGGGTGGCGGGGTGGTGATTTAGCATTGAAGGAAGCTTTAAACACAACTCAAATTCACAAGGATAGATAAGTTTTATGCTTTAAAATTTTAAAGTTCTGAATGAAAAAAAATCACAAATATAGTAAAATAAGTAGCCATAGACAAAGAAAATAGATACAATTATGCATCTGTTAAATTAATAAATGCTAGGCTAGAATTTCATAGACTATTGACAAAGAATACACATGGACAATTCACAAAAGAAGAAACCTTTTTAGATCAATGCATACACTTAACTTTAATAAAGGTCTGAAAAATGTGAGTATAAAATGACATAAAACAATATTCCACACTCATAACACTGGTAAATATTAAAAAGTGAGGAATAAAAATATGTAAACTTCATTATTGTCTTTTACAGAAAAGATTCAGAAGCAACCAAATACTTATCTAATTTAAATACATGAACCAAATCCATAACAATCAAGATAATTAAATCTCAGAGTAGGATAGTTAAGCAATATATATACAAAGCACAGAATGATGTAAATATCTTAAATCCACTTATATAATTTTAAAACCACATAACTAGCTATTATATATATATATACATATATACATAATGTATATACATGAGTAAATGTATTTTATGAAAAAAATATGGATAAAACTCAATGACATTATACTAAGTGAAATAAGCTAGTCGTAGAACGACAAATATTACATGATACCATTTGTGTGAGATATATAAAATAGTCAAACACATAGAAGCAGAGAGTAGAATGGTAGTTGCCGGGAGCTGGAGGAATGGGAAAATGAGTTTTGCTATTCAATAAATATAAATTTTCAGTTATGCAAGATGATTAAATTCTAGAGATCTGTTATGTATCACTGTGCCTATACTAAGCATTACTCTGTTGTGTACTTAAAATTTTGTTAAGACAGTGGATCTCATGTGAAGTGTTCTTACCAGAATAAAAATAAATAAAAAGATTTGGAAAAACAATAAAAGGTTGTAATAGTTATTGTTATTGCCTTGAGATGGAGTGGAGGGGCTGAGAATGGATATTGAATCAATGGAAATTTAGCTTTTATGTAATTATATATTACTTTAAAATAATAAATCTTATAAGATAAAATTATTGTTTAATGTGGATAATAAAAACATGTTATCTATAATGTGATTTTTCTGCATATTTATGTTTATATGCATGTAAATGTGTGTATATCTTTCTTACAAATATTTTGGAAGGTGAAATTTGTAATTCGGTGATGGTATTGTCTTAAAATTTTGTCTGCTTGACCAAGGGAAGGTCATTAAATTGTATATTCAAGGCTTAGAAAATGGAAAATGGACCTCCTATACAATAAATAATAAGATTCAAATGAGAGGTCAAGTTTAAAAAAAGCATCAAATACAACAAAAAGTGGAAAAGAAATAGTTTTTTTTTTTTTTTAATTAAACTCTTTTCAGTGTTATAAGAATGCTAAACAGATGGAGAAGTTGGGGGAGCTTATCAGGGAAGGAAGTATTGAATGAAGCATAGAACAGCCTGCATCTTTGGTCACATGAAAGGCAATACGCAGTGGACATTACAGAGGAAGCTACCACGAAAACTTCATGTGGCTGTTTGGGCTCTGGGAAGAACCTCAAGGATTTAAATACATTGTAATGAGAACTTGAGGTTGGTAAAAAGCTTTGTAATTTCCTCTTTATTGTCCACAATTTGTCTTTTGCCTCATTAATTTTAGAGCTTAGAATGTGCTACAACCTTATTAAATATTAGAAACATCAGAAGAAAAAGTAGTTGTGTTGTGCCCTGGAGTAGAGAATACTCTAGGGAACAATATACAGGTTGTTACTACTTCTTTATCAAAGCTAAAATCACATTAAAGAGAGATTACGGCCCTGGAAACAAAATCCTCATATTTATTTCAGAATTTTAAGATGGATATTGTATTCATTCATTCATTTATCCTTCATCCCATCAGTCAATCAGTCTTTTGAAATTTTTCGAACATCTACTTTTACCTGGGTATTATTTTAGAGGCTGTTAATACAAAGGAAAACTATTTAGACATGCCCTTTTCACTTATAAAGCTCGTAGACTAGAAAATTCCACACAAAAATAAAATTAAAAATTAGGTTATTTAATTATAATATTTATGTTTGAGGAGAGGTCACAAGGTTATATAAAATATGTTTTTAATCAAATAATTTTAATTAAAAACTATAAGTAAGATCAGTTTCATGATGAGTACCTTATTAATTTAATAAAAATATTGATATGTTTGCTGATAACCATTCATATTTTGACTTTATGTTGCATGTCATCTGATATTTCTGGCAAATATATCATGGTGTGTTCTTGACACAAAAATAGAGCCTTTCCATTCAGTGTATTCCCTATATTTACACTAAAATTGAACACTGGGTCCAGAGCCCTATTCTTTATAACTGTTGAATGTTCTCCATCCTAGGCCCAGCAACAACACTTCCCAGATACAGGGGTGCAATTCAACACACCAAAGCATGGCATCATTGCATGTGGTTGTTATTCAGTATGAGCATCTGGGAGAGTCCCTAAGCTGTCTCTACATTTTTCATTCTTTGGGTAAAGTTTTTGCATGGAGACTTGATTAATGAGCATTTAAATTGGTTTTCTTTCCCTGGGCAATCAGAACTTGATCTGGGGATTCTGGATCTCATGTTCAGGGACCAAGACCACATACAAACATATTTCAGTGGGAATGTCTTTGGGGACTTCAGACACTTGTAAAACTCTAACATTTTTTATGTAGGAACCTTAGGAGTGTGTCTCAGCAGATGTCTGTGTACAGGAAGGTTAATTCTTTTTAGATGCAGTAGTGGAAGATAAAAGAGATATAGGAAAACCAGTGCAACATCATCAGATGAGCTCATCAGATACATATTTGATGCATGAAATTAAGCATCTTTGAATTAAGACAAAGAAACAACACACAGTTAAGTGAAATAGATTATGGGATAGCATGTAGCTAGATATTATGTAGCTAGATATTAGTTTTGTGAGTATGAAAAATTATAATTCACTTGCTGTTCTATGTCAACTATTAAAGCCCTCCGTCAGGTAGAATAGGTTCCTGGTAGTGAAATTTAAAAAAGTCACCATTCAGTGATGAAAGCAACAGTCAGTGGCTCCAGGGAATCTCACTCAGGTGACTTGAGTTCATTCTCATAGGAATCTCAGACCATTTGGAACTCCAGCTCCCATTTTTCTTGGTTTTCCTGGTCATCTATGGGCTGACTGTGGCAGGGAACATGGGCATCGTCACCCTCCCCAGTGCCAATCTCAACTTCAGACTCTGATATACTTATTCCTCGAGCATGTGGCCATCATCAATCTTGGAAACTCTACTGTCATTGCCCCTAAAATGCTGGTTAACTTCTTGATTTCAAACAAACAAACAAACAAACAAACATATTCTACTATGGATGCACATTAGTTTGTATTGTGGTGAGATTTTCATGCTGGTCACAAATGGCCTATGACTGCTACGTGGCTTTTTGCAACCCGCTGCGCTACATATTGGTGGTGTCTCCACAGATCTGCTTCCTGCTGGT